ATTTAGTGTCATTGTAAAGGTTTTGATTTGAATTTGTACCTTTTCAAGGTTTTATATCATTTTTTATTCGAAAATGCTCTACCTCTAGATACATAATTAAGAAATTACCTTTTATCTTGTGAAATATTGACATTTTTAAAGATATAAGCTCACCCCGAAAATACATTCATCGAGACCTTTCATTTGAGTACACAAATCAATTTTTCATATATTTTATATATTTATATATATGAATATATGAAAAATATATCAAAAATGCATGTGGGTACTCAAATGAAAGCTCTTGATGTGTGTAACATCGGAATGAACTTATATTTTTAAAAACATCAATAATTAAGAAAATACAGTGCAATTTAACAAATATCTTGTGAGTTATTGACATTTTTCAAGATATAAGCTTATCCCGACATTACACTCATCGAAACTTTTCATTTGAGTACCCACATCAATTTTTCATATATTTATATATATTATATAAATGTATATATGAAAAATATATAAAAAATGCAAGTGGGTACTCAAATGAAAGCTCTTGATAGCAGTAACATCGGGATGAGCTTATATCTTTAAAAACGTCAATATTTAAGAAAGTGCAGGGCAATTTAACAAACGTCTTGAGAAAATCATATACATTTATTTAACCTCCTTTAAATTGACATTTGTAAAGATATAAGTTCACCCCGACAATACACTCATCGAAACCTTTCATTTGAGTACCCACATCAATTTTTCATATATTTCATATATTTATATATATATTATATATATGTATATATGAAAAATATATCAAAAATGCATGTGGGTACTCAAATGAAAGCCTTTGATGAGTGTAACATCAGGATGAGCTTATATCTTTAAAAACTTCAATAGTTAAGGAAGTACAGTGCAATTAAACAAAAGTCATTGTTTAATAAATTAAAATTTTATTTATTTATATTTCACAAGTCACGGCAGTCAAATAGTGACTCAATAATAATAATAATCATAATGAAATAGATTCTTATGATTATGTATATATATATATATATATATATATATATATACAGTCATTTCAGGTGAGCAAGTATAGGTAAAAGAGATTAAAAAAAGATAAAAGACAAAGAGGGTGGAACTGGATTGGTTTTTGTTGATGGACAAGAGATGAGAAGCAACACGTATGCCGGTAGCTGGTATTACTTGATGTTACGATGACCGCATGAAGAGCGACCAGAGAGCGAGGCCAGAGCTGTCAGCCTGCCGCCGCGCTGTCAGTCTCCTGTCTGGTTGCTGTCCGTACTGTCTGTCATTCACTCACTAGCTCTTGTTGGCTCTCTTCTATAACTCATATATAAATATATATCACACGAACACACATACATGTATATAGAAAGTATAGCCGTGCATGTTCATCCGTTGATGACTCGTTTTACTTGACGGTATGTCGATTTCTTTTTTGTATATCAGTATGAAAAAAAGACTTGTTAACATGAAAGGTACGTTATAAATGGGAAAATTTTATATTTTATTTCTTTTAGTCATAAGCTTTTTCAATTTTTAATTAATTGGTTCTAAAGGAACTAAATGTTGAAAGACAAGTTAATTTAATGTAGTTACATTTATAACTGATTTGTGGGATGGTATTTAATCAAGGATTGCTTGAAAAAGTTATTTCTTTAAATTACTATTATTATTAACTTGTTTTATAATCATTTATTTGATTGATATTATTTCCAGTTATATTAGAATTCATTTTTATTTTTTTACACAAAAAAAAATATTTGAGCCAAGTAAGATGCCGAAGATATAAAATTTTTGGATACGGCCAAATAAATATTTATTTCTGGTAAATATATAATATATTTGAGCGATTTAATTGTGTAAAATAAATAGTTTATTTATGGTAAAGATATGGTTTATTCATGAACTTTTAAAATTTATTTTATCAATTTTCAGAAATTATAATGGCTTTAAAATGAAAAAAAAATTATTTTTTAATCTTTTAGTTGAATAATGAAATATTTTCCGTGTCTTCTATTGAATAAAAGTGTTAATTATAGGTTAAGAATAATTTAGATTTGTTTTCGTAAAATGTAATATTTTAAACAACTTACCATATAAGTTAGGTATGACTTTTTCTAATCCCCAATCCACAGATTCGGTAGAATCTGGCGCCAAGTTCCGTTCAAATCCGTTGTCAACGGAGCGCCAGACTACCAACTGTGTTTACTGTAAGCAGAACGGTATTTTGAGGTTGCAAAATTTTATTTAATTCTACGGTACTTTTTTTTCCTAAATTCTATATTATAACAGTAATTCATACTTTAATTTACTGTTATTAATTAATTATATTCACATATAACAATTAATCTACTTGAAATTAATAAATTTAATCAGCACAAACTATAGCAACGCAAAAATTTCATGTACTTGAAGTTTCGAACGTTCAACTGAACGAATAATATAAATTTCGATCCTGACTTTTTTTCGATGGGCAAAGTGATCAGCCACAGACTAAATAATTCGAGAATACATAGTAATCCTTCATTAGATGGGAAACTACAGTCAAAAAAAGATATTTCACAGCTTGCATATACACCCGCCAGGGTGCACTGGAATTATTTTTACATAAACTGTAGCTTCAAAAGGATAGTTTGCTATAAGAAATGCAGCCAACGCGAGATTTAAGTAGGTACCAATTGTAAATTTTTATTAAAATTACAAAAAATACTAAAATCCGAACAAAAACAGTTTCACTGTAAAAAAAAAATCGCGCCAAGTCCACGTTCATAAGACTATTAAGAAAAAAAAAATTAGTTTTTTCTTTACAAAAAGAGATAGAATAAAAAAATTAAAAAAATTAAAAAATCCAAGTAACCGATATGACTGTTTATGATTTTCGGAAATTAAAAAAAACTTTTTTGTAAATTTAAAAATTAAAAAAACAATTTTGAAACGTACTTGGTGTGCGTCATTGTGTATTTCAATTTTTATAAAATCCTAGTAAATAGAATTCACGAATTTCATTAAAAGTAAAATATTTTGCAACCACGCACACTAAATACGTTCCAAAATTGCTTTTTTAATTTTTAAATTTACAACAAAATTTTTTATA